GGCTGTGGACCAAAATGACGCAGAGCCGGTTTTTCATTAGAACTTAATTCAATTATTACAGTTTAAATTTCTAGAATGTTTTTTCCCTCCTGTGGCTATGAAGAGTGAGGCTGGTGCAAGATTTTTATTTGTGAAATTGAGCGTGGGTGTGGATAATTACAATTATACTGTTTGATTTGAGTTTTCTGTCTGGATCCCTTTCTTTATTTTTTAAATCTCTGAGAACTATGAAGACTTAGAGACTTAGACTTAGAGCTTTTTATTGTCATTGTGCAGTTTCTTGCACAGCAAAATTGGGTAGCTGAACCACAAAGGTGCTAAAGTAAGAAGAAGAGAAACCAATATACAACGATGGCGGAAAATAAATAAATAATTAAATAAATAGAATAAAATTAAAAACAGTGTATATGTATACATATGTGAGTGGAACTATATACATGTTGTATGTGTAGGAAACATTGAAACAGACTGGGACCAAAATAATTGCACATGAGCCAAAAATATTGCACAGAACATGGAAAGACTGAGATATTGCACATAGATGATCAACAGCAGTGTCAGGGTGGATGTGTTGGGGAAGTCTTTACACACTCTTAGTTTGCATTAAGAGTTCTGACAGCCCACGGGAAGAAGCTGTTCTTTAGTCTGTTGGTTTTGCACCTGATGGATCTGAGCCTTTTCCAGAGGGCAGGATGTTGAAGAGGTGGTGGTTAGGATGGAGGTGGTCCTTTATAATTGCCCTGGCTCTGGAGAGACATCTTGAGCTGGCAATTAAGTCCAGGGAGGGGAGTGGACAGCCGATCACCTTCTATGCAGTTCTGGTGACCCTCTGTAGTCTCTTCTTGTCAGCTGTTGTGCAACCAGCGTACCACACAGGGATGGCGTGCACCAGCACACTCTCGATAGTGGCACGGTAGAAGGACACTAGGAGTTCAGTCTGCAGCCTGTTCCATCTCAGAACCCTCAAGAAATGGAGGCGCTGCTGGGCTTTCTTTACTAGGGCTGATGTGCTTGTGGACCAGGATAGGTCCTCAGATATGTGGGTGCCGAGGAACTTAAAGGAGGACACCCTCTCCACATAGTCACCTTTTATGGATAGGGGAGGGGGATCAGTTCTTGTTTTGCAGAAGTCCATGACCGCTTCCTTGATTTTTCAGGCTGGTATAAAAGTTTTTTTTTATTTTTCACTGTAAGGGAGTGGGAATGTGGACTAGCAGTCCAGCGCTGGTTGTGTGGCACATCCCCGCATGGAAGCTGTGGGTCCAGCTGTGGGGAATGACCAGTTAATGCCCAGTTGCCTGTCTGAGCTGCACATCCCCACAGCACAGAGTTTCCCAAACCCTGGTGTGGTCCATAACATGGACATATGTGTCCAGCTTCTCACAGAACCCAAAGACTATCAGCAAATATATTCAAAGTATCCAAAGTTAAAATGCCTACATAAAACTTATTTTAATGTCTAATGTTATAATACTGTTAGTACTGATTCAGTGAGGTATAAGAAGCCCTGTTTTATGAGTTTAAACTGAGCTGCTTTTTAAAAACTGCTTTAAATACAACAAAATATCTTAATCCATAGATTTCTAAGGTTTGGGTGCTCCAACAATAAATAAAAAAAACAAAAACAAAAAAAGACAATACGTATATGTTTATTTTTGCCATATTTGCCATGTTTCTTTAGTCTTTTAGAGGACGTTTGAGTTTTGTGAAGTACTAAATAATTTGAACTCTTCTGATCTACATAAATTATTTCAGTGAATCCCTGTGAGAAGATTAGTAGAGGAATCCCCACACAGCTCTTAAACATCAGAAACACGACAGGGAGCCCCAATCCTAGGGCACAGCATGCTTCTATAATCTCTGATAGGCAAAAAGAAACCTTGGGTTTCAAATATTGCAATGAAGTAAACACTATTTGTCTCTTTATTGCAGTGGAGTAGACATATATAGTCAAGATATCAAGTGGAAATATCAAATTATACAAAAATGATCAGGCAGTACTGTGTTACCGACTTGTTTTTGTGTATTTTTAAGGTATCCGAGGGCTGTCATGAAGATGCTTTATTTACCTTTGATCCTCTTTACACTACTCTCATTTCAACCACCCGGTTTATTTGGGGGCAAAATTCTGGTGTTCCCACTGGATGGAAGCCATTGGATAAACATGAAAGTGCTCATAGAGGAACTGCATGCCAACGGTCATGAGATCACTGTCATTCGGCCATCTGATAGCTGGTACATCAGTGAGAAATCTCCACTCTATACCTCTGTCACACTTCCCTACTCTAGTGGATTTGAGGAAAACTTTGAAACATATTTGTTTCAACAGCTGGAAATCCTGCTTCAGGGAAAACCTAAGTCTTCTTGGTCCCACATCTGGACTCAAATTCAGATCCGGAATGTGGTTGTAGAACAGTTCACTCAGTTTCACAAAGGGATGAGAGAAACAATCGTTCAGATGTTTGAAGACAAAGAGCTGATGCAGTCTTTACATGCTGCTAAATACGATGTGCTTTTGACTGACCCTGGCATCGGTTGCGGGGCCATGCTGGCACGCCGACTTCAGCTTCCTCTGGTTTTCAATGTAAGATGGACCATTCAAGGCGAGGCTCACTTCCTTATTGCTCCCTCACCTCTGGCATACATTCCTTTTACTGGAACAGAGCTAACAGACAAGATGACCTTCTCTGAGAGAATAACAAATATGTTGAGTTACATTATTGGCATGTACACATTGTTTTACATGGCAGAAACAAACTACAAACCGGTTGTTATGAAGTACTTTGGGCCTGATGTGGATTACTCAACGTTTTTCCTGGATGCTGATATATGGCTTATGAGAAATGATTTTGTCTTTGAATTCCCACGTCCAACATTGCCAAATATTGTCTACATGGGTGGATTTCAATGTAAACCCTCAAAAGCGCTTCCTGATGACCTGGAGACATTTGTCCAGAGCTCTGGAGACCACGGAGTCATTGTGATGACCCTCGGGACTTTAGTTGCAAAGCTTCCTCAACATGTTACTGAGGAAATTGCTGCAGCCTTTGCCCGACTTCCTCAGAAGGTTATATGGAGGTATATAGGACAAAGGCCAACCAACCTGGGAAACAACACGTTACTAGTCAACTGGCTGCCACAAAATGATCTCTTAGGACATCCCAAAACTAGAGTGTTCGTGACCCATGGAGGCACCAATGGAGTTCAGGAAGCAATTTACCACGGGGTGCCTATAGTTGGACTGCCCTTATTCTTTGATCAGCCCGATAATCTCTCCAGGATCAAAGCAAAAGGAGGAGCTGTGATTGTGGATATTGCTATGCTCGGAAGAGATAGCTTTGCAGAGGCACTGATGACAGCTCTTTACAATTCCACTTACAGGGAAAACATGCAGATGCTCTCCAGGCTGCACAGAGATCAGCCCATGAAACCTCTGGATCAGGCAGTGTTTTGGATAGAATATGTTATAAGACATAAAGGGACCCGTCATCTGCAGACACAGTCGTACAAAATGTCGTGGTTTGTGTACAAGTCTCTTGATGTCATTGCTTTTTTGTTGACCGTCGTTTTGCTTATGATGCTCATTTGTGTGTCATGTCTAAGGCTAGTGTGGAGAATGATCTTTTCTGGAAAAAAAGTTAAACCTGAATGATCAGAAAAACAAAAGCAATCCAATCTAAAAATCTTCCTCTGCACCAGCCATGTGCTAATTACCTGAAAGCATTTTACTTTGCCATATTTATCTTGAGAACATCAAGAGCATAACCCTGAATGTGAAGAATCATTAAAAAAAAAAATCAACCAAACTACACATGGATCAACTCTAGAAGCGAATCACTTTAAAGCTGGGCAAGCCCCACCTTGTTTTTCACCAAATTGTTTTTTGAAAAGTGCTTTGTGAATAAAGATGATTCTAGTATTTTCTATTTAATAATTTCTCTTGTATTTTCATTGTTTCCTGCTTACATTTTTAAAGAATTATGTTGGTGATGTGTACTGCTCTTAAGCCATTTACTGACCAGGCACTAGATGGCAATACAAGACACACTGCACCTATCTGCCCCATACTGTTTTCCTGACAGTGAAGTTAAGCTGATTTTTATTTATAATGGCTCAGTCCAGTCCTGCATTAGTAGACGTGCCATTCTGTAACAATTTGTAAGAAATTAAATTTATGTCCTTTTGTGTTTTAAAAATGAAGAAAATGGATTCTGCAGGATTTTAATGACAGCCCCTGGGCTCAGGAAGTAGAGCAGGTCATCTGCTATGGAAGGTTGGTGGCTCAATCTCTGGCTGCTCCAGTCTGCATGTCAAAGTATCCTCAGGCAAGATACTGAACTCAGAGTTTCTCCTGATGCGTTTTGTCAGACAGTGAATGTATGTGAAGGTTAGACAAAAAGCATTTACACATTCAAAAACAAAAACAGTTTTTAGGACTATGTGTGTGAATGAGGCTTATATAAACTGCTTTGAGTGTTCAAATAGAGTAGAAAAGCACTCTACCAGTTCATTTACTATTTATTTACTCTGTTTGTCAGATCCGTGGGCTTTATGAAGACAAAAATGATTTAAAAATGCTCACAGTCAGCAAACAGATGTAATTGCATGTCCTGTGTGCATGCTACTGCACATTGGCAACAGATGTCATGTCTTACTTTTTTTGTTTGTGGCTCTCATAGTCAGTGATTTTCCAGGTGGACTCGGGATGAGGGGCAGATTCAGTAGCAGTGGGTTAATTATGGTGAGACATTTATTTTCTCCTAGCCTACACTTAAATGAAAGCAGATGTCCTCTTAGCACTGTGAGGTGCAAACTACATCATCAGTTTATCCATCCGTTCTCTTCCGCTTTCTCCCGATCAGGGTCGCAGGGAGGCTGGAGCCTATCCTTGCTACCTTGGGGCGAGAGGCAGGGTACACCCTGGAGAGATTGCCAGTCTGACACAGGACTCAAACTACGTTATGTATTTGCTTAACTATTACTCACCTCTCATTGAAAGTTAACAACCACTCGGATTTGTATTGTACATTCACAGATGCCTGCTAATTACTGCAGCTGAAATTTCATTCACCAAAACTGGAGCACAAACTATTTGTACAGTCTGTTAGTACAATTAACTGCACATGAGTCACATTGTTTGACAAATAACTGAAGAAAAAGGAACTGACAAAGACCAGTGATTGTATAACAGGGTCCAGTTCAGTGACCCCATACTGCGTTGTTACAAAAGGGAGGAAATGAGCTTCGAGCCATTCCTTAAATGCAACTGAAGGTTTTCTTGCAATTCAGCTATTGCTTTATTTTTCAGCCTTTCGGGTTGTTTTTCGCAAATCATCCCTTCACAGAAAGCCACAGGGAAACTTAATTAAATGTCATGTATGTGTGCCCATTTGTTTACCTCTTTTTCTGTGATGCACTTGCGTGTAGTACTCCTAAACACCAATCATGTGTTGATGTGGATATTTTCTCTTTTTTTGACCGTTCTCTATAACTCTGGGAAAATCCGCTACAGTTCAGCAGTTTCTGAAATACTCAGACCAGCTAATCTGGTATCAACAATCACGCCACATTCAAAGTCACTTAAATCACCTTTTATCCCCATTCTGTTGCTCGGTTTCAGCCCATTAATAAACAACAACAAATCCTGGTCTGAGTGTGGGGGATTGTCACATTTTCTCAATCTAGTTTCCAGCTCCACAAAAAAGTGAATTTGTTCTTAAAAATATAAATAAAAATTTTCAATCAGTTAAGCATATTAGAATATTGACAAGACATGCCCTAATGTAAAAAGAATGGTGATAATTATTGTATCAAGAAACAGTGGATCATCTTTTTTACTGCATACTTCTTATCTTCTGAGGCTTCCCCAAAAAATACTGACATTGTCAGCGCCACCCCCGCAATCACCGTGAATGAATGCGGACTTTGATAAAGCATAACAAAGATAGTGGTTAAATACACCCATAAGCGTGTCGGGCACTGAATGTGGGAATACCGGTAGTTATGATGATGAACAAACACAAATTTGCTTTTTTTAATAAAAAGAAAAGAGAAGAATCACTCGAGGCAAGTAGTAACTTTCTTTTGCAAAACAGTAATTTCTGAAAATACAGTTTCAGCTCAAAATGACATTATACTGATTAACATTAGATTTTTCTGATAGTGTTGGCTGATAGGAAGTGTTCTTATTGCATAGTAAATAATAGCAAGAGTCCAAACAACTGATTACATCATGTTATAAGGATGAAAGAAAATGAGAAACAGTATCGTGTTTAGTATATTATACTAACATCTGATGGGGTAAGGTAACACTCCAGATGTCCTGTCGAATATATATTACAATTATGACAATTATTACATTCTCACATGCGCCTCTGTTTAGGGATGTCTATCAATATTCAGTGTTTCAGTGCATGCTTGAAAACAGCTTAAGCAAAGTGTTGGACCACCAGAACAGCATCACTGTCTCTCTGCAGTGATTCTCCAGACGTCTGAAACTTTACTGGAGGAATGGAACGTTATTATTTTAACAGATGTCTTCTGTTTTGGTATTTTGATGGTGATGGTGGAGAGTGCTGTGTATAACATCAGCCTAAAATCTCCCATAGATTTTCAGCTCAGTTGACTGACAAATTGTACTGTTGCGGTCTTACAGGTTCCAGGGTTTCATAAGTTTTGGTTCTTGTTTTGAATTTATAGTTGTTTTTTAGGTGTTCGCGTTAATCAGTGTAGTCTAAGGATAGTTGTCCGTGCCTATGTGTTTATATAAACACCTGCCTTTGCCCTCACTTTTGTCTGTTTACTTTCCCTCCTGTATATTTGCTGCTGTTCCTGTGAACTTTCTGTTATCTGGGTTTTGTATTTTGCCTACCTTTGCATGCTGCTTTTGGGTCATCTCTTCACTTACTGGCCAAAATGAGTCACACTATTTTCATACTCAGGCTTTCTGACTGATGATCCTGCCACTTATGCCCCAACAATGAACCCTGTTTTGAAGTCGCTGCGAGAAATCGTCCATTTTTTAAAAGTCAGAACCAACTGAACCAGCTCAGCAGTTTTATACAGCAGGCTGAGAAAACCTGGATATAAACTGATTATTGTGCTAGTGCGTTCCTTGTATTTCTTGACCTATATATTCAGGTTTTTAAATCTGTTATCCATCTGTGATATCTGGGAGTCCAGATGACCCACTTTATGTGGGACTGTGCACCGTTTTTCCTGTCTCTTCATCTCACACTGAAATGCCAATGAAGGCAAAATGACAGATATGAATTCAAAAAGAGATGTACTGATCTAAACAGGCATACCTCATGAATACCAAAAGCGATTATCACAAAGAAAAGCTGCTGAAATAACTCTTAGGTTTTACTTTTCTCTTTTATTAATACAGGAATTTAATTACTGACTGAAGAAGTGGTGAAACAAATCTTTAATTTACAATATAGAGTGTTAGCAACAGTTGTTGTGATTGGTTGCGATATAAATAAAACTGAATTGAATTGTTTCTTTTTATTTGATATGTAGATGCTTTTTTTCACTTACATATAATTATGCAAACGATGCAAGTATGGTGATATGAGTACAAACTCTTGGTTAGTACGTTGTTCAATACACTGGTTCAATCTCACATTAATGCAAATATGTGATCAGCCAATCAAATGGCAGCATCTCAGTGCATTTAGGCACGACCAGGACAACCTGCTGAAGTTCAAACTGAGCATCAGAACGGAGAAGGAAGATGGACTACAACAGCAGAAGACCACACCAAATGCCACTCCTGTCAGGTGATAACAGGAAACTGATACTACAATAATGCCTGGTCTGGTAGAGACAGAATTGAGTGTTAACAACATAAACGCATTCATTCTTCTTGACTTGTATCAGTTGTTCAGGCGGTTGCTGGTGGTAAAGTGACGTATTTGCATCCCTTTGTCCGTCCCTTTAAAACCACAGAATACTCATTTTCTAATGGATGCTTCCAGTAGGATAACACACCATGTCACGAAGCTCAGATCCCCTCGAACTGGTTTCTTGAACATGAAAATGAGTTAACTGTACTCACATGGCGCCCACAGTCACAAGATCTCAATCCAACAGCGCACCTTTGAGGTGTAGTGCTACGGAACATTGGCATCATGGATGTACAGGTGATAAATCTGCAGCAACTGTGTGATGCTGTCATGTCAGCGTGGATCAAAAATAATGTTCCGCACGCAAAAGACACCATACTCTTTGCCCCAAATTCATGATGTAGAAGACCAAGTGACTTGTGCTTCTGTGCTGTAGGTGTCAGCCTGCCATTAACCTATATTTGCTCAAAGAGAAATTGGATTAAAAGTTTGCGTAAAGCCACAGGTGCTGTTGGGTTCAAGGCTTAGTCAGCCCGAGTGAGAACTTGCTTGACACAGGACACGGCTGCTCAGCGAGTAGCTACTGGAGGATGAAGTGTCAAAGAAACACTCGCTTCTGATTGGTTTGCAGACACTGTAGGCGACAACGGCTTAATTTGACTACAAGAAAGAAACAATCGCAACTATATTCTAATTCTTAAGGGGCTTCGTACAAAACAGGTTTAGCAGTATACATATAAATACCATGGTTATTATCTTATTTCAACAAAATCGATTTGTGCTTCACTTTGCCACGCACCGTCTTGTCTCTGCGCTCCTCCAAGATCTCGCGGGATTAAAGATGTAACGGGTGGTTAAGAAAAAAAAAAAAGGAAAAAAAGGTGGTTCGGTATCTGCACCGGGTTGTCAGCAGAGCGGCACAGGTAGCCAGCTGCACCTCTGTGGGCTCACGCTCGTCTACCTAGCGACGCTTGACTCTGTACGTGACACGACTGGGGAGTATCTGGAGGTGCGAGCCTCGGCGAACCCAGCCCGCTCCATCATAACCGGCGCAGGTCACCTTAGCGCTCTCCTACCGGCA